CCTTTCCTTGTTCCTCCCCTCCCTGCCGCCTTCACCTCGTCCTCTTCCTTTCCTCCCTCGCTTTTCATCGCCTTCCTTCTTCCTCCTCCTCCTCCTCCCCCTCGTCCTCCTCCTCTTCTTCCTCCTCCTCTTCCTCCTCCTTCTCCTCCTAGTAGCTGTCCACGTGGTTTTATGCGCCCCGCATAATTTAGCAGTTTGATCATTTTTTGCATAATTTCTGATTATTTTCCTTAATTATTCTTTGTTAAGATTGACAGAATCGCATAATTTCACGTTTTTTGTGCACAGTTTACATAATTTCATTTTTTTTCTTTTCTTAAAACCACGGAGACAGTTGTAGTTAGGATACCAAACTCGTCATCTTGAGGTGGCGGGTTCGGAGATTCGGGTACGAGGCTATAAAGCTCAGTCCGACGTTGTGACCTTGGGAAAAGGTACTTTACACAAATTATCCCATTTGGCTAGGACCTATTGGAATACAAGCACGTTTAAAATCGGAGGTACCGCCTCTTAAATAACTTTACAATGTGGAAAAAAGGAGTTAAACCCATACAATTTTGCTTTTTTTTTTTTTCAATTTAAAAACAGGTTGCTTTTGGTCGGGGTTTTTATACATATTATGGGGGGGGGGGGGGGGGCTTTTGATAATGGCCTCCTGTTACTACTTGCATATATCCCTTCTTTTTTTTGTTTTTGTCTTGTTTTTCATGAACCTATTTTTACGCATCCATCGAAACAAATTAGATCATTTAGGAGGCGGGCTTCTGACCCTGCCTGCCCTGGCCAACCCGTGATGAGAGGGATTAGTTAAACTGCATCCCATCACTAACTCACTAACCCTATCCGTACTTCGTGTTTTACTATCATATCCATACAACGAGGGGAACTCTGTGCCTCCACTTTCCAAAGAGGAAATTTACTCATTAATCCGATCAGTGCGCTTAGCATAGCAGTCAGCCAAAAACATTTTTTTGAGAAATACTGGAAGTTTCAAAGAGATCTTAGCACTAGAACTATTCTAAAATGAGAAGAATAAATAACCCGGGGGTACAAAATTACCCCAGGCGTCCACTCAGGAATCGAGCTCACGTTTCCTACGTGTGACACTGAAGCCCCTCTGACTGCTATATACCACGTACAGACGCGGTTCTCTCTTGTTATCTCCTGGAATTTGGAGGCCGGTATCATTCAACTGGTATCAACTTATCAGGGAGTTCATCAAGGGGAAGATAGACGTTTGATGAACGATATCACTTATCTACATGATACAACTGTATATTAATATATGTATGTGGCATCGTGGTGAAATCAGGCGCTCGACAAAATTTAGAATTCTGAAAATTTCAGATTTTTTTTCTGTCCGTCGGGGTACTTTTAATCGTTGTTTTTTTTGTTTTTTCGGGGAATTTTGGGTTTGTTTTGCTTTTTACTCATCGTCTTTTATAACCTGTGTATGTGTGTGTATGTGTGTGGAGGGGGGGG